AATACACAATTTTAGCCAGGTTCAGTGGCTCAGCCTGTAATCCCGCGCCTTTGGGAGGCTGAGGTGAGTGGATTGCCTGAGCCCGCGGGTTCGATATTTCTTCAGAATTTGAAAACTAATTGTATTAAAAATAGTTATTTGCATAAGTTCAATTAGAATCTATTTTATTTTCTAACAGGACATAATCAGAGACACTGGTTATTCTACCAATGCTTTGACAGGCATGACATTTCAAATATAAGCAGACTACTTCGAGGAATTGAGACTGAGATCTAGAAAGAGCCAATAAAAAGCCCCTTGGAAAGGCTGACCTTGTGCCTTGTCAGCCCTTTGCAAGGCTCCTGACTTTTGGTGGGTGAAGGATGTTGTTCTCTGACAGGCCCGGGAACCCCAAGTCATGTGGGGACCTCAAAAAGAGAGGAATTCATTCGATTCATACGGGTATTTACAGGCTCAGATAAATCCTTGGCTGGGCTCGAGTGGCTTTAAAAGGTCTAATCTCAAATTCCTTATGAAAAAGTTCCAGTAAAGCCAGTTTAAAAAGAGCCTATTGGTAAATAATTATTCTTGCTACACTTTATGCAAATAATCTGGCCAAGTATAATAGAACTAAAATCTACTTTACAAATAAATTGGCCCTACTATGATTTGTCCTTGAGAAAAATAGAGGACTAGAGAGAAAAATTATGTTCAAAAAGAAACTACACCTGTTATTAGATGCTCTTGCTCATTATTTTTGAGTATTTGTTATTTTCTACAATTTGGACTGAATCCTGAATTCTTTCCTGGCTTAAGTCCATACAGTTTAATGTTAAAATAGGGACCATAAGACTGACAGATTAGACTATGACAGTAAGATACCACGTTATATATAAAACCTAAGCCATGTCATGCAACTTGTCATCATATCTCCACAACTGACAGTGGGGAACAAAATTAAAAAGAAACACTGACATACATATTAATACTCTCAGCACTCACATTAACTTCTGCTTATGAGTTTGCTTCTAACAGGACCATTCATCCCACAGATGTGGGCCTACCTTTCCACTGGGAGATCAAATCCTCCTCAAGACCTAAAAAAAAAGAACCTAAAATTGCAGCTTAAGAAAAACTACACAGGCCAGGCTCGGTGGCTTAGCCTGTAATTCCAGTGCTTTGGAAGGCCGAGGGGAGTGGATTCCCTTAGCCCGCGGGTTCGAAACCTGCTCGGGCAACTGGGGAAGACCTCATCTCTACAATAAATCAAAAACTAGCCAGGCGTGGTAGCACATGCCTGTAATTCCGGCTACTCGGAAGCCTGAGGCAGAAGGATCACCGGAGCCCAGCAAGTCAAGGCTGCGGTGGCCGGGAGCGTGCTGCACTCCAGTCTGGGCGACGGAGTGAGACTCCAACTCAAAAAAAAAAAAACAAACTACACAGGTACGCAGAAGCCCCAGCTAAACACACTGCTGCTGCTTTTAACACCTGCCATGCATCACCCTTCTCACTGGAGAAACCTCACATATCAAGTAGGCGGCCCTGCGGTCACGTGGCCCTAAATATTCTGGCCACTGCCCAGGGCAGCGCTTGTGCATCAATTAAGACTGAATATTGTATGTATTTCCTAGATTATTCCTATAATATAACTGGCTATGGAAGCATTAGACACTCACATCTCAGCCGTAAAAACCATGTTTCAAGACCTCTCCACAGTATCGTTGCGTCAATTTTCCAATACATGGACAACTTTATACATGGTATAATTAATCTTCCGTTGATTGTCCCTTTCTGTTGCTACAGATTCTATTGTTGCTGTACATTCTGTATGGGGATACAGGAGTGGCTTTGCCAAAGGTGCCTGGGTCCTTACACCATAATGCTCCAACAAGTTTCTTCCATAATTTCAGATACGGGGAAACATTTCCAGTTCCAAGTGGATCAGTTTCATTCTAATGGCCCTTAACAATGCCCCTTTTCAGCAGGAGGTAGCTAGATTGAATTAGTCACTCATTTTCCATAGAAATGAAATGGAATTTGACACTGGGAACTAATTCATTGCTGGTAGCAAGTTCTGCTGCTCCTGGCTCACAGGCCAAAACAAACAAGCACAAGGTGCAGTGCAAGGAAGGTGACTGTATTCCAAAGGTTGTCAGATGAGAAATGGCCAGCCTCTTGCTTCAAAAAACTAGAGCCTCTGAAGATAGAGGCTTTTGAATGGAATGAGGAGTAGCAGGGAGCTGGTCTTGCTTCCAGCATTATCTTGAATTGTTGTCCACCTGGAGAGCTGGCTGATACAGTCCTGACTGCAACCAGGCTTTAGATTAACCGGCTCAGGTGACCTAAACAATGAAGAATTCTGCCCTAGAGTCTGCACACTCTATTATTCTAAGATCAGTCTGTGGAATTTCTCAAGCAAATACATAATTAAAAGGAAAAAAGTAATCTCTGAAGTGCAGGCTAAGAGGGAAAAAAGCTAAAAATCGTTTGTCAAAAAGATAAAATGGAAATGATCAGTTACAAAACCATTCCAGAACAAGGCTGGGTGCAGTGGCTTATGCCTGTTATCCCAGCACTTTGGGAGGCCAAGGCAGGAGGCTTATTTAACGCCAGGAGTTCAAGACAAGCCTGGGAAACATAGCGAGACCACATTTCTATTTTTAAGGAGTTAAGGTAGGACGCAGTGGCTCACGCCTGTAATTGCAGCACTTTGAGAGGTGCAAGGATTGCCTGAGACCACAGGTTTGAGACTAGCCTGGGCAACATAGTGAGACCTTGTCTTTGCAATAAACCAAAAAATTAGGTGGGCATAGTGGTACATGCCTGTAGTTCTAGCTACTTGGAAGACTGAGGTGGAAGAATTGCCTGAGCACAGCAAGTCTGGGCTGCGGTGGCCACGAGCAGCATGCCACTACACCCCAGCCTGGGTGACAAAGTGAAACTATGAGAAAAAAAGCTTAAAACCATTTCTCAAAAAGATGAAATGGAAATGCTTGGTTACAAAACCATTCCACAATAAGGCTGGGTGCAATGGCTCAAAAAAAAAAATTTAAAGAAGTAATTCCAAAGCTAGGCACAGTGGCGCAAGTCTGTAATCCCAGTACTTCGAGAAGACAGGTGAGAAGATTGTCTGAATCTACAGGTTTGAGACTAGCCCGGGCAACATGGTGAGTCCTTGTCTCCACAACAAACCAAAAAAAAAGAGCAGGGCATGGTGGTACATGCCTGTAGTTCCAGTTACTTCGAAGGCTGAGGTGGAAGAATCGCCCGACCCAGCAGGTGGAGGCTGCGTGGTTGAGTGTGTGCCACCATACTCCAGCCTGGGTGATAGAATCAGACTCTGACTCAAAAAAAAAAAAAAAAAGTTAAAAGTCATTCCAAGTTAAGTGTTAAAAAAAAAAAGAAAAAAAGCAAAGAATGAAAGAATTACTATGCTAGCACTAACGAAATAATATCTAGTTATCAAATGCAAGTTCGTGATATTAGAAAATGGGGGGGTGACCCCTTTGCCACCCTCGTGGGAGTTTTTTTTTTTGTCCTCTCAATAAATCCTTTCTAAAAAAAAACAAAAAAGAAAGAAAAGAAAGAAAATGGGAAGGAATGCTGGGTGCAATGGCTCACGCCTATCACCAGCACTTTGGGAGGCCGAGGTGAGAGGATTGCCTGAGCCCACAGGTTCGAGACCAGCCTAAATTTTAGCCAGGTTCAGTGGCTCAGCCTGTAATCCCGCGCCTTTGGGAGGCTGAGGTGAGTGGATTGCCTGAGCCCGCGGGTTCGAGACCCACCTGGGCAGCGAGACCTCATCTCCACAATAAATCAAAAAATCAGCCGGGCGTGGTAGCGCACGCCTGTAGTTCCAGCTACTTGGAAGGCTGAGGCAGAAGGATCGCTGGAGCCCAGCAGGTGGAGGCTGCGGTGGCCGGAAGCGGCCACTGCACTCCAGTCTGGGCGACAAAGTGAGACTCCAACTCAAAAAAAATAAAAATAAAAATAAATAAAAAATTTTGCGGACGTGGTGGTGCACGCCTGCAGTTCCAACTACGTGGAAGGCTGGGGTGGAAGGAACGATCGCCTGAGAGCCCAGCAGGTCGAGGCTGCTGTGGCCGTGAGGGTGCCACTGAACTCCAGCCTGGATGACAGAGTGAGACTCCGACTCAAAAAAAAAAAAAAACGGAAAAGAAAAGAAAATGGGAACAAAAACTGCCTCCTAAGCACTATTCTACCACCTATAACTACAGAGAAGGGCCCTGAACTGGACTGAATCGTTTCATCAGGTTCCTGGATGGAAACAGATGTTATATTTAAAAGGTCATGTGCGGGCAAACCCCTTGGGTTCCCCTCCCACTGTGGGAGCTTTTCTGTCCTCTCAATGAATCCTGCTTTCTCACTTAAAAATAAATAAATAAAAAGTCACGTGCGAGGAGCTCAAAGAAATGCCTCTTTAGAGACACGGACCAACACTCCCTCGCCAGACGCCCACGGCCTTTCGGGATCTGCTCCATGCCCGCCTGTACAGGCCCACCTCCTCACTCCGGGACCCCATGAGTTTCTGTTCCACCGCCACTGCCAACTGCCATACCCACACCCCGAAACCACGCTTGCTCTCCGCCCTGGGGGTCGGAACTCGCCGAGCGCCCCTCCAAGCGCGCCGCGGCGGGTTCATTTACTGTGGGGGCTATCCCTTCCGGGTAGAGGCTGCTCCTCACCCCCTTTGAGTTCGTCATTCTCTCCCCCGGGCTTTCGCGTCACTGTGCCGCGGGCAGTCTCCAAACGCTTCATCACATCAGCTTCCCCTTTAGGAATAATAATGGCTACCACTGACGCAGTCACAAGAAGACTGCGCGGAAGGACAGAAAGCTGGTCACCCCTGCCGCGTTTGTCCCCTCGGGGCCACCGTCCCCACCCCGTCTTCCGGTTTGCCTGGCAACGCCCACCGCGTCACGCGTAGCGGGAAGGCGGGCTCAAGTTAAACTCGCGGCGCCCATTGGCTGAGCAGGCAGGAGAGCAGGTGGGTGAGTCCTCGCGTGACGTCAGGGCGCCGCGGCCAAGACGTCGAAGCCAAAGGAAGACAAGAGCCAGCCGGTTGCCCAAGCGGTGTCGCCGTCGTGTGGTTATCGCCTTGAGTCGTGGTTGACGAGCCCCGGGAGCGAAGGGTCCTGGTTGGTACGGGGAGCGGCGGGCGAGCAGGCGGGCGGGGATGGCATCTCCTTTCAGTCTTACGCCCGGCGAGCCCCGGGGCCTTCATGGCCGCGGTATCAACGGCTGCCTCGCGCGAGCGTAGATAGGGTGTGGCGGGGC